TTTTTTTTTTTTTTTTTTTTTTTGTCTTGTTTTCAATTCACTGCTTGCAATTAATGTATTTACTAAAGAGTGAAAGCATAAGTAAATTCACGAGTCAAGACCAGCTGAGAGGTTCAAGAGCAGCGTGTTGTGGCTGACAACAGTGAAAGGAAAAGCAAATGTTAAAGGGAGAGGGAGAAAAAAGAAAAATTTAGGGTTATACACATTAGCACCACTTTTACAAAACCACTCAAGATGGCTGTCACTTTCTCAAAAAAGCTATTGATACAAAATGGTAGTGGCCTTTCTCCTCTAAAATTTTAGGTGAAAACTGTTCTTTAATTAAATCTACTTTCCCAAGTATGAATAGGGAATGAAATGTCAGGAATTATATTAAAATTATTAACATGCTACTACTCTATGTCCTTGTGATTATAAGAAAGGCAACAGAAAAAACAGATATATACCCAAGAACCTCTTAGATTCACCAACCTCCTAAATTAAGTGAATGACTAATAGAGAAAATCTGGACCCTTCCTTCATTCCAGACTACCTGCTTTTAGAGGAAAATAGGCAGCTCTATGACAATGCAGAAAGGGCTAGTATTCAGTATGGTCCCTTTTCCTACCAAAAAAAAGAAAAAAAGTTTTATAAACACTCGTCAAAAATCCAGTAGGTTTAAGGACGATGGGTAACACAGGAAGGCACACCAAAATAAATACCTTATACAAAGGAGAACAAAGCAGACTTGTCTACCTCTGAAATGATCAAAATGTTCATCGAACTTTCCCTGTAAAAGAACAAGGGGTTCAATTGGCAGACCGTTAATTAATCTACTCTCTCTGTCTAAGGCTGTGATTCTGCCAATTCTTCTCACAGATGTTATTTATAGCCCAAACAGGTAATATAGACACAACAAAAGCAAGGACCACTAAATTTAGCTTCTAAAACAGTAACTACTACTATTTTAGTTACTACAATAGTGATTAAAATATCTTTCAGTTTTTAATTTTGAAATAGAATATATAATTTGGCCCTGGCTGGTGTGGCCCAGTTGGTTGGGCGTTGTCTCATGCACCACAAGGTTGTCAGCTCGACCCCCAGTAGGCAGAATGCAGGAGACAGCCAGTCGATGTTTTGCTCTCACATCCATGTTTCTCTCTCCCTCTCTCTTCCTCTCTCTAAAATCAATTAAAAATCTTTTAAATATATATATATTTTAAAGAATATATAAAATTTGGGGTTTAATTATAATCTCACAGAACCAAAAATGAATGGAAATTTTTTTCTTTTTTAAACACAGTTTGTTTATGACTAACAAAGGGACATGATAGCCTAATTTCAATGCACATGGAAGAAATACAGGGAAATACTAATTTTAAAATAATAAAGCCACTGAATTTTGCCAAAGGGTGGTAGGCAAAAAGCTGGTTTCCACAATCTACTAGTTATTCTCTATGCTCATGACTCCAAAATGGTGGCAGGGTGAAATTTTTTTTTTTTTTTTGGTTAGGCATAAAGTTCTTAATTCTGGCTAAACCATGAAGCTGAGCTGAAAACCCAAACTATTTCTACCTAGATTACCTCAGTTAGCTTTTAAAACTTTTTTTTCTAGTTCAAAAGTTAAATGTATAATTAAAATGCTACATTTTTATCCTTTGTTCCCCTCTAAAATATGTGTGAGGATATAATTTTTAAATAAGGTCTTCGAAAAGTGTATTATAAGCAACTACCAATATGCTGAAAACACACCAGCAAAAAACCCCCCAAAACCCAAAAAACACCCATTATTAATTGTTTCAGTCATTCCTCAACATTTCTATTTATTAAATATCAGCTAGAGCCTGGCTGGGTGTGGCTCAGCAGTTGAGTGTCCACCTAGGATCCAGGCGATCGGAGTTTGATTCCCCGTCAGGGCACATGCCCAGGTTGCTGGCTCGATCCTCTGTCACGGGCGTGCAGGAGGCAGCTGATCAATGACTCTCTCACCATTGATGTTTCTATCTCTCTCTCTCCCCCTCCTTTCCTCTCTCTGAAATCAATAAAGATATATATATATATATACACACACACATATATATCAGGTAGAAAACTTTCCCAGGGAACTTTGCTCTGCTCCATAAAGCTGTATGCCATTCAGAATAACAACAATCATTTTGGCAATAGTACCACCAATCTGTATAATGGGTGTCTGCCAAAACACAGATAAAAATTTACTTTTTTGTATGGGGCGCATTTAAAATTTTTATAGAAAGAAATATAGTATTAATCATGTCTCAAGAAACTATACTACAATTATGTCAATGACTGAATATTAATTCCACATTGAATTTTCTTTTAGTTGACAGCCACATTCAATTTATACCATTTAGTCTATATTATACAGTGACAAAAATGGTTAAGTCTCTTGAGTGGATTGTAAGCTTTGCTGATTGTGTATTAAAGATTCTATAAGCAAAAAACAAATGCTACTAAGGTGAACCCATGCAAATAAGTTGTAAAAATTCCCAAAATGAAAAATCTATAGCTCACTACAGATGACACAATGAAGACTAGAGAGAAAAGCCATATAGTAATGCTACACCATTCAGCTCCAAGAAGCACATTATTTATAGTGCAGTCCACATATGGTCACTGCTAAATGTCAAATCAACAGTCTTACAGAGTTACAGTTTGGAACTAGTGGAGTCCACAGATCTAAACAGATATTTAACAGGACAAAACCCAATTACACATAGACTTCTAAATCCCTAGTGAGCAAAGTGAACATCAGCAACTGGAGTTTAAAAACTTACATTAATTTTTAAAACCTGCTTGGTCAACCTGACAACTATAAAGATAGGATTTTAATCAGCCAGGCAGAACAAAGACCAACGAACAGTTGATGGGTAGTTTTATTTCCAACTGCAACAATGACATATTTTAAGTCTATCATGCAGGCAGTTTGCCTTATGAATAGCTTAAAATCACTCTCCCATCTGATTTCTCATCTTTTTTCTTTGGTAAGGGTCATAAAAGGAACATATATCCTAAATCACACCGACCAATTCTTGGAACTATGGTAGAATCCTAGACTGGGCTGTCTATGGTTTTAGATTAAGTTTTATTTGTTTTCTAAATATTTTATCTTTAAGTATGTGCAGGTCATAATTATTAGGCTGGGACCTAAAAATTTCATTAAGCATAACTTAAAATTCAAGTTCTAAAAAGTGTTTGTAATAAGGGTAAAATGTTAATACTTTACACTTTCTAATTCATATAATCAAGTTGTCTACTGATATCTTTCATAATTTTCTTAGAACAATATTTTATTTTTGACCAGAAATTTTATTGAAACATATTTGGTTGGTTGAAATATAACTTTATAACAAAGATTATGAAATGCTTTACAAATGCTAGATTTTTAAGTGCTTTCAACATTTCCTAATTGAAATGAAAATATCTGTGTCATTTCACTAACAAATCTAAGCTTCAGAAGTACACTGAAAGCATAATGCATTATTGCATCTTTATATCTCATTTCCCACCTTGCTGGTTTGCAACAAATTTACCCTATTACAAAACAAAAAGAGCTTAATCCTATACTCACAATAACCTTTCAAACAGGCATATTCTTGGCACAAACCTGTGCAGAGACTTCCACGGTTACCAGCTGCTGCAGATTACCTTTGTTAAATAAAAAAAAATGACTAGACCTTTAGCTCCTGCAATGATCTGTAGACTCCCAAAGCTGCATATTTCCAGCCACTTTTGAGTTGCATGCTGTAGCAAAACAGTCAGCACCTCTCAATAGATATTGCTGCAGAGAAAGATTTTAATTCAGCAGATACTCTTTCTGTGTGTTAGAAACAACCTTTCCCCCTCTAGGAATAAGACAGCTCAATATAGCCAGCCAGTCATAAAACTAATATACATGTGGGAATTCCTTAGGTTATAGGACACTTCTTTTTGGGGCGGTGTGGGGGGACACATGACACTACCTACTTTAAAGTCAATCATTTTGAGTGTCTTTAAAAATTTTAAATTTATCCCCAAATGATTTGATAACAGAAATAAAATTCCCCTTATTTTGTGTGTTTTACCTTTATCTAGCATAATTTAGGCTATGAAGCTCCTCCTCCTCCTATCTAAACTACCACAGCACAAATAATTGATATATTTATGCATTTGGGAGTAAATTTATGTTAGAAGTATAATTTATTAATATAATTCTGTGAACATACACTTGTTTATTAAAAATTAAATATCCAGTCTGAATGCTGTACTGTTTGCTATTTTAAGTGGAGAAGACAATATTATTTAATAAATAAGGCATATATCAATTCCACTGCTACTCACTGACATTATTCAACAATGATTATTCAGACTGTCTTCTGATAGTGTTCTCCCTATGACATGTGCTGGAAAAAATCCTGGACAGTGGGAGAGTGAAAAGGTCATTAGTCTCACATGCCAAAGGAACGAATGTTCCAAAACCCTTAAAATTAGCCCTAAAAGAAGGCTTTAAAAATGTTATATATCATTTAATTTAGTGCTTTAAAAAAATCTTTGTTGAGTATAGTGATAACAAATACTAGGCTGCAAATTTAGTCTAATTAAATTTCCTGCTACTTTCAGGTCAGAGTACTCACAGAATTGTATTAACCAATCATGTACCTTGGAGAATATGGTACTTGGGCCTTGCTTCTGACAGTTCTCGGTTTTTAAACTTTGACCCGAAGGAACTTTTAAATTAAAATAAAAAACTGACACAAAACAAGGCAAAAACTTCAGTGATTTTTTTTTTTAACTGAGCAAAATGGGCTTGGCATTTTATCCTTAAGTCAAAACACAAGACTGGACTTTCAGTACAACATCAGATGTGAATTCTCCCTCTGCAGCATTATCACATGCGTCATCAATTACTGCCATGCCTAAGTCTAGCATCATGCCAGCACGTTAAGACAGAAGGTACTATATGCAGTGTTCACTGGACCAGAAGAACAGAAATAAGGGGAAGTGGGGGAGAAAGAAACCCTAGAGAAGAAATTAAAAAAAGGCAGACCGTGCAATACAAACCAGATCATGGCTGCTTAGCTAATATGGGCCAACTGCTGTGGAAGAAAAATGTCGAACACCCCAAGTTGTGTAAATTTCTGTAAACATCTAAACACACACACAAACACACAACACCAACCTAATTTAGGAACATAAATATATGTTGATCCTTTACTATGGTACAGTTGTGAAAATAAAAGCTATGGTTAAAATACCTGTGCTTTCTAAATTGCCTTATTTTCCTGAGGGAGGAGAAGCAGCTAGTGTTTCTTAAAGGGAGAGAGGGGATGTCTTGACTATTATAAAGATTAAGATTCCCTCTTTAATCATTTTTCACTCAAGCTAAAATAACTCACTGAAACCTTTATTAAATGTAAATATGTACACTTAAGCACAAATATTAAATACTGACAATACTGACAAGTTTAGACATTTTAACAATGGACTGTAACCTGAAAATAAAGGGCTTCTCAAAATGAAAACAATGCTCAAAAATTAAGATTAAAAAAAAAAAAAAGAGTCAAAAGAAAGAAATCTCCTTGTTGTATTGCTTTATATCAATATCCAAAACTAAACTGTGTGAAGAGATAGTAACTATTCCTAATGGACCATTATATGATTGTGTTGCCCAGGAAAGGTGAAGCTTTTAAAGGATCAAAATACATTTTACTCCTTTATTCAATTTACAAAAACACTAAACTTTTAACTTGCTATCTTTAATGGAATATCAGTATGGGCCAAATGATATTTTTTCATCAAAATTCTAAATTATTTCTAGATTTCAGACTGATATCCCAACATATTAAATATTAAATTATATCTCAAACTCTCTTTGATTACTGTCAGGCATGCATGAAAACAGCTCTAGACTGTACTATAAGTTAATAAGTTTAACTTCATTCACATCAAGTGTCACACGAACACTACCTAACTAGCTAGCTATGACCCCAAATTAAGCACTGATCATCTTACCGATTCAATAGGCTTGTCAAGTGATGCTTGTTCAATTTCCAAATGTCCTTCTTCATACTGATCAAAGTGATTACCCTGAAAAGATAAGACTACAGTTATTTTTTCAAAAGCAATCGAATGAGGGGTTATTTTTAACTTTTTTTCTTTTGTTGTAGATAACCAAAACTGACACAAATTCAGACTTTTAAAAAATCTGAACCAAAAAAAAAAAAAATCTGAACAATTTATCAGGAGTCCAGTAACATGAACTCTTCTTCCTATGACAAGCATCGAAACTGCGAACTAAAACACGCCCAACCATCTGGGATATTGACTTTCTTAGACTGACTGTATTAGGAAGACTACAGAATCTTAAAAACAAAGGACCATATTGTGTTTTAGTTTTCACAAACAACCTTGTACTAAAGAAAATATGTCATAGTAATAGAAGAATGCAAATAAAACCTATAATACTGTTCAATGCTGGTAACACTGCTTTTTACTGAAACTGCTAAAATATTCCATTTTAAATCATTAACACTTAACTCCCAAGATTTGAGGAATACAACAAAATCTGACACAGCATCCCAAATGCAGCTATTCCTCAAATGATTTGCCGAGAGATAAACATGCTTGTATAATACCATATTTGACCATAATCAGGCAAGCTATCACTGTAATCAGAGTAAATCAAAACAGTTCAATTGAAGATAAAGATAAGTTCCGATAGCTAGAGGTTCACCCTCATCATGGTTTTTTTCCTGAGTCCCCGGCTCCCCTAGAAAGGAAGAACTAGTAATTTGGCTTTAAATCAGAATATCAATTTTCTGCTTTCCTTCTTGTTACAAATTAAAGAGCATAAGGATTTGTGAGTCCTGAACTTATCAAAGTCAAAAGACCAGACTTCAGTCTAGCCTAAATTAATTAATTCAATGTGGAGTGGTATGACAATCTGAATGTTAACCTAACAAAAAGATACTCTGCTTTTCCAAGGTAAACTTTTAGTTGAATAAACTTTAACCATAGAGACCTGTACCATAATTTGCCACAATGTATCATAAATATATGCTTACTTGTTTCTCTCATCAGACCGTGAAGTCTTTTAGGACAAGAACAGTGTCTTGTTTACCTCTTACAATCCCCAAAACTCAACATAATGGGTAAACATTAGAGAACACTTAGGTGCCAAAATTGTATGGCAGTGATGAAAAAGTTCTGGAACTAGATAATGGTGGTGATAACGGCCCTGAAACATTGTCAGTGTATGTAATGCCACTGAACTGTATGCTTTTAAAATAGTTAACATTGTAACTTTTTAAAAAATATATATACATATTTTAAATATATCTTTATTGATTTCAGAGAGAGGAGAGGAGAGGGAGAGAAAGAGAGAGAGACATCAATGATGAGAGAGTCACTGATTGGCTGCCTCCTGCAGGCCCCTCACTGGGGATCGAGCCCGCAACCCGGGCAAGTGCCCTGACCGAGAATCGAACCCGGATCGCTTGGATCCTAGGTCAACACTCAACCGCTGAGCCACGCCCGGCCGGGCTAACATTGTAATTTTTAAAAAAAATATGTCTTTATTTATTTCAGGAAGAAGAAGGGAGAGGGGGAGAGAGAGAGAAACATCAATGATGTGAGAGTCATTGATCAGCTGCCTCCTGCACACCTCCTGCTGGGGATCAAGCCCACAACCCAGGCATATGCCTTAATGGGGAACTGAGCCTCGATCTCCTGGATCCTAGGTCTATGCTCAACCACTGAGCCACGCCTGCCAGGCAACATGGTAAATTTTATGTGTATTTTACCACTATAAATATAATAAAAATAAAATTGTGCATTCTTTCCAAAAAACAAAAGGAGTGCCCGGCCGGACGTGGCTCAGCAGTTGAGCGTCGACCTAGGATCCAGGCGATCGGGGTTCGATTCCTGGTCAGGGCACGTGCCCGGGTTGTGGGCTCAATCAATGGCTCTCTCATCATTGATGTTTCTATCTCTCTCTCTCTCCCTCTCCTTTCCTCTCTCTGAAATCAATAAAGATATATTTAAAAAAAAAAAAAAGATAAATCAAAAAACAAAAGGAGTAACAATGGGTTTTTCAAAGACAAAAAAAAAAGGAAATCTTAAAAAATAAAATAGGCCCTTGCTGGGTAGCTCAGTTGGTTAGAGCTTCATCCTGATACACCAAAGTTGTGGGTTCTATTCTCAGTCATGGCACATACAAGAATCAACCAATGAATGCATAAATAAGTGGAACAACAAATCAATCTCTCTCTCAAATCAATAAATAAAAATAAATTTTAAAAAATTTTAAAAATAAGGATATAAGAGCAAGTATTCCAATACTGAGGAAAAGCCATCATCAACAAAAACTAAAAAAATTGGGGGGTTATCAATCATGAAAGTCTGTCTTAAATTAATCTCCAATATTTTGTCAAGTGATCTCTTAAAATAAAACCTTCCTCTTGGCATTTTAACTTCTATTGCAACATTTAAAAGAGTAAGTTACTTCAAAGATGTTAATTGCAAAATACTTCTAAATTCCTAAATGATAAACATTCAAATACTTAGATTAACTTAAACCTCACAATATTATAGACCAATGTCTAGCCAAATCTCATAATTCTCTTTTTCACTCTACAGCTTTCAATGATTTAATGATAAAAGAATCTCATCCTACCAACAACTGGGTACTTTTAAAGTAAATAAGCCTCTATAGTATTAAATTTAGGACAACCATGTTTTAAATCAAAAGAGAACTTTCCCAAAATTTATCACTAACGAAGATGACAACCTCTAGCACCAGTTGCTAAAGTATTCTAGAGCTGTCTATGCATGTTTTTTATTTTTATTTTTAAAAGTCTTTTATTTTGATGTACAGATCTATGAATTTTAATATAGGGAGGCACAATGTTCTAAAAAATTAAAGACATTGTTAGCACAAAGTTTCCTCTCCTGTAACACGAGATGACTGGACTAGGTAACATATCTAGGTATAAGATTAAAGTTCTACTTACAAGTTCAATCTAACAAATATCTGGAGAAAAGTATTTTACAAAAACACCCTTAATGGGCATAATTTATGAACAGTGCAAATAACCTTAAAAAGACTGAAAAAAGTAGGGGACAAGAGCAAGGCTGTGAAAGCATTGAGTCTTTACAGTGGTTAACTTAAAAAAAAAATCATCCTGTATGACCAGTCTCTTCTTTTTTTTTATTTACATAAAAGGACACGTTAGTCTAACCTAACACATAATATTCATTAATTTTCTGTCATCTACTAGGAACTGTTCTGGCACAGTACATATCATATAGATGAAGAAAGAGTGCCTGGACTTAAGGAATATGCTTCATGGAGGAGACAGGTAAACAGTGATTGCAATCTAAGTGCCATGACAGAGGTGTAAATGAAAAGCTGGGGGAGCACAGACCAGAAGTATCAGGCAGGACTTCAAAGTGGAAGTGAGCTGGATCTTAGCCAGGTGCCAGGGAGGAGTGTGGGTGGAAGGGTACAAGGCTGGCTTTATAAGGCATTGGGTTTATTCTTTGATCTATCATTTACTCTGTGCAGCTAGTAGAGTGGTATATGATTTGTTTTTAAAAACTGTTTAATAGGATTTTTTAAAAAAGTAGTGGGTACTGAATATACAGAAAACAAAGGAAGAAATACATTAAGATAAAAGACAATGGAAATTTGGAGGGAACTGCCTTAAAGATTAGATAGCTCCTTCCTCAAAGAACGATAAGAACGACTATATTTGTTGGCCATTAAAGTGCTCAAAGAAGATATATGAAACTCTGTCGCTTTCTTTAACCAAAAGAATTAAGCATCCTTGGTTTTCCCCAAACCAGATCATTTAAAGCATATCTTTTTTTCTTGTAGGAACAATGTTAAATTTCAGATCCATGCCCCTAACGAAGGCTTTTATATCAAATAAATTATAGTGTACCTGACAGTGTCACAAACATAAATGAGTAAGTCAAAGAGTTTGCTTTAAAAGAGTAAACAAATATACAATAAAAATCAGACACAGGTTCTACTGTGCTATAGAGTATATACAGGTACTTATGGTAAATCAAAATATTTATTAAATTAGATCCAAAATTAATGACAATTATAACTAAAAATTTTGCCCTTTAGAAATTTTTAGAAACTGTCACAGCTAAGAAGATTCTAAAGAGACATGACAAATTTAATGTAGTATCTTGTATGGGATCCTGGAACAGAAAAAGAATATTAGGGGAACACTAAGGCTATCCGAATAAAGGATGGACTTTAAAGAATCATGTATCAATACTGCTGCATGAGTATGGTAACAAATGTGCCATACTAATTTAAGATGTTAACAACAGGGAAAACTGAATACAGAGTATATGAGGTATATGTATATAGGAACTCTGTACTGTCTTAGCAATCTTTCTGTAAATTTAAAACTGTCCTAAAATAACAGATTAAAAAAATAAAAAGTTTTGGGAAGGGTCAATACCACTCCATATACATAGCATGCATAGCTTCCTTTAGCTTTATAAAATACCTTCAGAAACTTTATTCTAACAAGTTTGTGAGATACTCAATACACCAGGTTCTCAACATCATTTCGTTCAGTCATTTCATTACAATGTTAGTGAGATGCCGTAAGAAATTAACTCTTGTTCCTATCAATTAGCCTATTATGGCAGCAATTATCAACCCTTTTCATCTCATGGTACACATAAACTAATTACTAAAATGCTTTGGAACACCAAAAAATACAGTATTATGTTTTTTGCTGATCTGACCAAAAAAATAAAAAGGTATAATTCTGATTCATTCACACCGATGGCTACTGTTTTGTTGGCTGCTGTCATTTTACTTGACAATCTAAGGGAAAGAGCTCAGTGCTCCTGAATAAATAGTCAGATACTGCATGTTTTAAAAATTCTTGCAGCACACCAATGTGCCTTTTGTGGCACACTGGTGTGCTGCGGCAGACCTGTTGAAAATCAATAGCCTAAGGTAAAATTGGTTTCTTTGTAGGTTATTTTGTTTAAAGTCCCAGAACCTACAGATGGCATTCAGTGAGGACTCACTGTACAGGATTTGGGGATTTTTTAATCAT